GGCTTTCCGCCTGCGCCCGAAGCACCGCGGGCGCATGTGGAAGCCCTCTAGGTCTCCAGGAGTCGCGTGGAAACAGGCCCAAGCTGAGGCCCGCGCAGGTTCGCAGCGGCTTGCGTGAAGTAAATAATGACGAAGAGCCGGTGCTGTGAGGCCGAGGGAGGCTCTCCCGCACGCGGGATGAGGCCTGGCAAGAAGGAGGATCTGTGGAAAGTGCTAACGTGGTGGGAGGCCTGGGTTTTCCTTCCTCTGTGTCCGCCATCCATCCACAGTGTGGAAGAGTGGATCTACAGTGATGCCTGCAGTATCCACGCGAGGGGAATGGCTGGGATCAGAGCTTTTCCTGGCAGCACTGAGGAAATCCCCACCCTAGATCCTCTGTTTGACAGGAGCAGAGGCCCCCTCGGTGCCACCTCTGGTCACTGTCCTCAGCACACGTAGGATGGGGACGTGGTGGCCAGTTACACCATGACGATGCTTGTGCCGTGGGTCAGGCAGACGGTGGAAATGGGAAATTCAGCAGAGCGAAACCTCAGGAAGGTTCAGCCGCAAGATGCCAAGTTTTGACTCGGCAGGAGCCCGCGGAGGAGCTGAACCGAAGGCTGCTCCGGGCAGGGTCTGGGCACGTCGGGATACCCAGCCAAGGCTCCTGGGAATCGGTGTGTCCTGCTGGGTTAAAAAGGGTCCCCCCATTGCAGGTCTCTTGCTCCCGTCTTGCCATGGCCACTTTGAGCATCTCCAGAGTGCTGAGGGGATCAATGGCTCCCGGGCTGGCGTATGTGACATGCCACCGCCGACCGCGTGTGCCACCCGCTGCTGCTCTGGTGGTTCCCAATGAGCAGCTGCCGTTTCCCAGACTCGCTGGGGATGTGCAGGAGTGGGAGGAGGGTCAGGCTGCCCCTCGGAGGTGACGGAATTTCCAGGTGCTGGCGAAGCAGCTTTTCCCGACGTCCTGGGACTCAGTGCTCCTGAGCAGGAGGGGCCGGCCGTGCGAGGGGGTGCTGGAATTTACCTCTTCTGCCGACTTTGAGTTGGAAACGTGGAATTTTCCCCCCTAAAAGGCACAGGGCAGGAAGGCTCCTGCTGCGGGGGTGCCACAGGGAGCACCCTCTTTTAGCCCCCCCCTTTTCTTTTAGTCCTCCTATATAACTGCCCTTTTTAACTCCCCCCTTTTAACCTCCCTTTTATTTAACCCCTGCTTTTTATTTAACGCCTGTTTTTTTGTTTAACCCTTTTTGCCCTCCCCCTTTTTTGCCCCTCCTTTTTACCCCCTTTTTAAATCCTTTTTTTAAAAAAAACTTTTTTTTTTTAAGTAGGTTGAAAGAAGGCCTTGCTAAGTTCTTGGTGATTAAAAGCAGCCCCTCTCTGCTGCATATCTATGAAAGACCCATCTTCACTAAGGCTTTAATGGAAACAAACACCCTGCCGGGGCTGGCACCCCTAACGAGCGTGCGCTGATGAACTCCGTTTTGTGCCGATCCAGGTGCCGGTCCTTGAAATGGGGCTGGGAAAAGACCCTCCGGTCTCACCGGGGGAGGTGATGGAGCAACTAATCCTAGAAACCCTTTTCACACGAGGCAGAGAGCAGCGAGTGGGACTGGCAGGGGGAAATGGTGTCTAAGCATCCGATGGCCTCCCAGGACGAGGAGCTTGGTGAACGCCGGCAGAGCGCGATACTGATGTTGACCTTAGTGGGGCTTTCACCCCCATCTCTGCTCGTGTCCTTGGAGATAAACTGATGTAGGGCAGATAAGTGCCAGGGAGGGGGGCCGAGAGGCGGCCGAGCCGCCTCGCTCCGAGGAGGTGACAGGGGCACAAAGTCCAGCTGGAAGCCAGTCACGAGGGGTGGCACCCGGGGG